GCCCCGTAAAATTATGACAAATCAGCACAAAAGAAAAAAAACATTCCCAAGGGGGTTTTGATCTGGGGATTTCATCCCTTTTTCCCCGTGTCAGTAGCTTATTACAATGAATTTTTTAAATGGCCCCTTGGGTTTTCCCTAACGTTATGAGGGAGAGAGTGGGGCCCCGTGGCAATAGGGACAAACAAGGGGTGCCGTTTCAGCAGAAATTTTGCAAATAGGATAAAAGGGGACCGGATATGGATATGCACCGTGAGGAAATTTTGGGGGAAAAAAGGCCCAAAGTAAAAAGTCCCCCCCGGTAAAAAAGGACAAAGATCGATAACCCCCAAAAATCGTTGTTAAAAAGTTCCCCCAAAAGGGGAGTTTGCCATATCCCCCCGTTTTAATTGGCCCCCGGAAGTTAAAAAAGAAAGGGGGTTTTTCAAGGTTTGAACCTTTGGCATTAACCCTGGCCCCGGTGCGGGACAAAACGTTGGCTTGTTGGGGAATTTATATATTCATTTGATGGCATTTATAGGCCTAAAAAATCTTGGGTTGCCCGGGTTGTTTTTAAAAACCTTGGGGGTGAACCCAAAAAATAAAAAGGCATTTTTAAAATCCTATCTTTTTTGGGGGGTAACACATTTTAACACAAAATGGGTTTTCCAAAAAAGTGTTTTTAAGAGAAAAATAAAATCTTCTTTTTGATTCCCTTTTTTTCAAAAAAATTTTTAGCTTAAAAGACTAGGGAAAGATTTTTTAATTTGTTTCAAAAAAATTTTAAAAATGAGTGGGTTTAAAAAAAACAATTGATTTCCTTATTTATTTTTTTACTGTTTTGTTTTTTCATCATTTATGAAATTTTTTCAGAGGTGAAAGTGTCAATCATGTTTATGTCCACGGTCTATTTTTACAACTCCAGTGATTTTCTGCGCTAAATATGGGGATACGGCTGGTAAACATTAAAAATTGTACATAGACATGGAGAAAATTGTGTGTTTTACCTGATGCAATTTCAAGTTTATCTATACTTCCCTCTATTTGATTGATATTGTTGCTTTAAAAATGATTTGACAGTCGCCATTTTTTTTCTAATAATTACACTAACTATTTTTTACTGCCGATCTAGGTCAACATACTACGTCACATTTCCCGCCAAAATAAAAAATACTGCAACCAATCAGAATCGCCGAATTTAGGTGACGTATACAGATCGTAGTAAGATTTTACATCAGCCATATTTGTTTATATTTGGCAACCTCTGAACGATTACATTGTTAGAAATGAACTTAAAGTAACTTTTAAATATTTGTAGTAAAATTATATCAAGTATAGTTATAGATTACTGTAGTTTATTGAAAAAATGCCATTGACATTTGTTCTTATATCGCCGAATTTAGGTTACACCGGGATATAAAATGTTATATGTGTGTGTGTAAATGAGGGTCCATCGCACACATGCACACCATCCTCGTCAATTCAAAGCATACTTTGAAGGGCCACTCCCCTCTGCATTAGTCAGGACATCTGCAGCTGGTCCTCAGTATAAGTTCTGATCTTTTGCGCCATTCCAAGGAATGTCAGAAGTTTCACTCCCAAGACGTTTCACTATTGAGACGTTTCACTCCCAAGACGGTTCACACCTAGACGTTTCACTCCCATTTTGTCAATTGTATGGACGTTTCACTCCCAATTTTTAAGAAATGTTTACTAGGAAAGTTAACAAATTTAACTTTCATTAATATAAAACAGTGTAAAAAGGAAATTCAATTTAATGTTTCATTTTGTTGATTTCAATGGTATTGTTAATACGAATTATTAGAAGAATACTCATTTATTTATGGGTTGAGTGATTAGAGGTGTAAATGAAAGACAAATTTCTGAAATATCACTTTTATTATAAGTGTAACAACATGAGAAAATTCTATTTATAGTAAATTAAAAAAATAATAGAATAACATAGAAAGAACAACAAAGACATATTATTATAAGTATCAATTTAAATATTGAAATCAATAACAGTAAAGTATCTAATATTATTCAAATAATAGAAAATATCAATATATTAAATATATTATTTAATGATTATTTTCATTATAATGAATATAATGATTATTTTTTGTAAGTCTTAAACAATGAAATGTGAAACATGTGTATAAAGTAATTTATTTTTTTAAATTATTTTCTTCATCAATTTATTAAACAGTAGCCATTAAACAAACTTAAATTATTGTGGTGTTATCTCATCGCCTAATTAGTTGAATAAACACTGAGACAATCAACTAACAGTTTGACACCACTATTAAATCAGTTGTATAAACACTGCACTTAAAGCATCAACAGTTTACTAATCAGTTGTTTATTGGACCATTTAAATATTTTTTGAAAACAGCCAATTTAAACACAGAAACTTCTCCATAAGTTTTGTTTACATAATAATGAATGTTAGTCACAAAAAATGATTATACATGACAAATATTGAAAAAGTCCCAATGCTTCTAATTTAATTTAAAGATATTTCTGATAAATTTGTTTACATATATCACAAAAGCACTATACTTAAGCATTAAATATTTTTTTTTAACCCATGTTTAAAATTAACAACAAAAAAACACTTTACTCAAAGTAAATTGCTGTCACAAGATTGTAATGCTTTAAATAAATTAAAATTGCCTACTGAGTCCATGTTTACAAAAAATCAAATAGTTAGTTATATTAAAGTATTATTTCAATCAAAAATGTTTTTTCTTTAAGTGAAATAATGTGATAATTGCACATATGGATCAAAGTATAGGAAAACACCTTATTTCAAAACAACAATAAAGAAGATAAGATAACTAAAATGATAGAACTTAAAGTACTGAGTTTTAAGTCATAGACAAAAAAGTGAAATCCCCTTTTTATTTAATTTTATTAAATTTAAGGTCTACATTAGTTCAATTCAATTCAGTTCAATATTTTAGGTCTATTTTAGTATATCATAAGTATCAAAATAATTTTGGTATAAAAAGGGAGTGAAACGTCTTGGTGTGAACCGTCTTGGCGTGAACCGTCTCAATAGTGAAACGTCTGTCTACCCATCCCAAGTCTTCAAATCTTCTGCCGATGCCCTTTGCCTTCTCAGCGACGAGCACACTCCGAGGGGAAGTGAGAAGTATAAAATGACATGAACATTTCCTATCATTTAAAGGCAGTGGCTAGTAATACAGGCCCGTACGGCATTTTTAAATTAATAACATACATACCATAATTTTTAAACTCATTTCCAGGACACTTTTCATTTGGAGGTGGGGCATTGATCAGCAAACGTATTTTTTTTTAATTGACATAGTGGCATACAACCTATATTAACGGTATTTACAACTTGCAAATTAAATGACACCATAAACAAAAGACAGAATGTCAATAATTATTCCCTACCGGTTTAACCGGAGGGGACTTTAGGTTTACCCTCCGTTGGTCTGTCTGTCAGTCAGTCTGTCCGTCCACAAAACTGGATCACGCGAGAACGCAAAAAGTACTAAAAATATTTTTATGAAACTTGATATATGGATTGATTGGCAGTATGGAGATTATGCACGTCTTTTTCTTTTGTTCCTATGTTGAAAATTCTGGTTGCTATGGCAACAAATAGTCTGAAAATATGGCAAATTTAACACATAAACTGGATCCAGTGATAACTCAAAAAGTAGTACTGAAAATATTTTTATGAAACTTGAAATATGGGTAGATGGCAGTCTGGAGATTATGCACATCTTTTTCTTTTCTTCCTATGTTGAAAATTCTGGTTGCTATGGCAACAAAAAGCCTGAATTTCAAGATTTCTGATTTAAATTTTTCAGCTTTTCACTATAAATTCTGTATTTCTTAAGGTGTTTACTTCAAACTAAGTTTCTGGTCATCAACCACATCATATGTGACAAGGTTTACAACTCTAGCACAAAAAATATCAGTATTACCTCCCTTGAACTTAGAATTTTTATGAAAAAAAATGTTGTCTTTTTTAAATAACTTCTTTACTTCTTTATTTCCTAATGTTTCTACTTCAAACTTCATATATGTGTTTGTTATTATCACTCAACATTTTTGAGAAGGTTAAATACTCTAGCAAGACTATTTCCAGAATTATGTCCCCCTTGAACTTAGATTTCTTTTCGAGAAATTGGTATTTTTTACTCCAACTTCTTCATTCCTTATAGGATTTACTTTAAAATCCCACATCGTAATAATATGACAAGGTTGTATAAACATAATTTCCTTACTAGGCAGGGAAGCTTCACACATTACTGTGATATAATAGACAAACTTAGAACTCAAAAGATTTAAGTTTATTCATGTCATTCATTCACTGGTAAAATTGAATGGCCAATGGCCCATCAGAATGTTGCTGGGATTCTAACCGATAGGGGACTTATGGATTGCTTGCAATACTAAGATAATTGCTTGTTATTAACAGTTTTTCTATCTTTTTTAAGTATTAAGGCATCGTTAATTCAATCAGTCACAGAATAGAATAAAGCTATGTTAAGTACTGACAATTAGCCATGTCGAATACCTGAAACATTCGCTGAATCTTGTAGATGTCATCACCTCGTATTAAGCGGTAATTTTCATGGTGTTTTAACACTAATAACTGCCACCAGGCGGATTAAATTTATACTGGCCAGTTGTAAATTACAGTGTATGACACCTTCGCTCAGGAAGCCACAGGGGGTAAACAATTAATCTTTTAATTGATCAAAATTATTGCCGATAATTGTTTGTTGGAAGGGGCACATAGATATTCCAACCAAGGATTAGTGTCACCCTTGCAATGCTGTTACTTAGGGGATAATTGTTCGTTATTAGCGTTCTAGACTTGTTTATAAAAACTATACAATAAAATTATATGAAAATGTAAAATTTCTTGCTTCAAAGTAGATTATTTTAGAAAAAAATTTACCGGGACATAAATCCTCTCCGGGACACCTCTGGGACAGACACCTTATTTTCGGGACTGTCCAGACATCCGGGACATTATGGCATGTATGTTAATAACCTAAAACAATAATGAATATTCAAACTTGTATTTCTAAACAGAGATTTTGTTAAATATCATGATATCTTTATCAATTACAGTTAAAGATACATATTAGTTTTTGTGTTTGATGATCCAAAGTTCTTTTTTCCCTCTGAAAATCACAGATTTTAACAATAATAGTTCTTGCGAATAATTATGACATTATTTTATCATTTCTATGGACAATATAGATGTAATACAACATTAATAATTTTTTTTATCTTGATCACTTTTTAGCGGGCATTGAAAATTTCTTTTAAAGATGCCGCCCTGTTGTTTTTCACGATTGCGTAAGCACGTTATCTGGTCAATCACAGACTTGACATACATGATCATCATCCGTGAAAATTATTAAGAAAAATAAATATTATCATTCTTTGTGAAAATGTTATTAAAGACATGCAAGTTACTCACTTTATCATTGCATTTATTTGTTATAGAGTAAAAAAATGCGTACGGGCCTGTATGGCTAACCACTTCCTAATTTAAATTTTTAAAAGAAAAGTTTCGCGAAAAGTGTCAAACATCTTTGGACTGATTTTTGCACCAGTTGGGACCAATTTTTGGGGGGGAAGAAACATCCTGTTTGCATTTTCACTGGAAGCATGTGTTGATTGGAGTAGAAATATGTCGGTATTACACTTGCCCCTCACCTCTGTGGGTTCGAATCTCGACAGGGACTTTGGATACTCTCATGTGAGGAAGCTATCCAGCTAGCTTACAACGTCGGTGGTTCTACTCAGGTACCCGTTCGTGCCTGAAATAATGCACGGAAGGGCACCTGAGGTCTTCCTCCACCAGTAAAGCTGGAACGTCGCGATATGACCTATACTGTGTCAATGTGACGTAAAACCCAAAAACAAAAACAATATGTCTGTATTACAGATCATTTAGCAACAAGTTTCCATTCCATTCAACAAAACCGTGCTTGGTGTTGCTGTCAATAAAAAATTTACTTTTTCCTAAAGAGCAAAATGACTGTTGGCAAACCTATTAGGCAAGCAAGATGAATAAACAACCTGAAGATCACAGGCTTCATAAACTGTATTAGAGTTGCACATAACTGGGATAATTTTAAATTTAATATTTTATTTGGTGGAGTGGTTATAGGTAAAGGTCACTTGCTCCGCTGTAAGTTTAACCAACTTTGTTGTTGGGTTTACCCATTTTGTCTCATTCTCACTCCTTTTTTCCCCCTTAGAATATTTCATTTAGCAGTGAATGAATAATGACAATATAACTTGTTGAATTTATTTATTAATATGTTTCAATACAAGATGAGTCAATTTTTTTTTCAGCATTATACCTTGATTACACAGCATCTGGAAGGTATCATTTATTTTATTTTGTATAATGCTTAACATATAATGAAATTATTAAAAAGGTTTATTTTAATTGGCTAATGGTTTATCTATTAATCCAGTGGTTGCAAGTTTGTCCCCCTGCTCCTCTTCAAATAAAACTAAAGACCCTTAAAATTAAGGTTGGACGTGTATTGGTGCACTACACAGTGTATGTAAAAGAACATCATAATTTTGATCTATTATAAGGTGTACGGACATAATCCCCTTCGGACAAAATTCCCTTCATGTATTTTTGTATATCTGGACATAATCCCCTTCGGACAAAATCCCCTTCATGTATTTTTGTATATCTGGACATAATCCCCTTCGGACAAAATCCCCTTCATGTATTTTTGTATATCTGGACATAATCCCCTCCATAGGTGGACATAATCCCCTTCATGTGTGAAATTTTGAAGTGGACAAAATCCCCTTCATAAAATTGCTACCTAGGACAAAATCCCCCTCGGAGGAATGTTTGGTTTATAAAGTGGGTATGAGAGCGACTTACTGCATTATGCTGTGTGGTAAATATCTTAATGTATAAATAAGCAGAAATTACAATATTTCAGCAGAAAAGCACATTCAATTAGCACATTTTAATCACATTAAAATTGTTTTGTTAAAGCATTCATAACAATCAATCAAGTAGTGCAGTGATCTTGGTTAAATTAAATTATCACTCTTTCATCAATTGAAATTGTAACAATGGATAGTATATATCAATTAGAATTATCAATGAAACAATTATTGGCTAATAAAAATGTTTTTCATACTAATCAATTTAAAACAATAAAAGAAATTGCCTAATCAAATATGTGTTATGCAGTTGATAATTTACAATAGCTTTAATGAAAACTTCTGAACTAAATAAAGGTTAACTATTGATACATAATTATAAATAAAAAAACAAAAGTTCATTATTCATTATTGATACATAATTATAAATAAAAAAACAAAAGTTCATTATTCATCAATTTTTAGGGAGTATAGTAATACATTAATCATCAATTTTTATGGAGCATAATAATACATTAGAAACCTATGAAACAAGGGGATTTTGTCTGGGTAGTGAAGGGGATTTTGTCCAGCCTTGCAAAAACATGAAGGGGATTATGTCCACCCATAAGGGGATTTTGTCTGGGTAGGCGAAGGGGATTTTGTCCGAATGGGATTATGTCTGACATTCCTATTATAAATCATGTCTAAGGAGAAGGGTTCAACGTTTTCAGTTAAACTGACAATAGAAGAAACCAGTTATATATATATGTATTTGATTATTTTTTTATTGTTTTATTTTCTAAATTTTTCAGGTCTTTAAACTTTATAGAAGATTATATACGGAATGAAGTTTTACCAGAGTATGGAAATACCCATACTACAACAAATGTTTCTTCATTGCAAACTACCCTATATAGACATGAGGCCAGGTAAATTTTTGTTTTTAAAATCACTTTTATCTCATTAAAAAAAAATGTTATATAAATCTTGTTATGATTAAGGTATGAATTATTAAGGTATAATAAACTGATATAGCAAGGATTTGGTACAGAAATGTAACCATGTCAGCAGATAAAGGTTTTTTAGCTCGACTTTTTTTTTTTTGAAAAAAAAAGTAGAGGTATTGTATTGTTGGTATTTATAGAAATTGCGTCATTGTTGCTATTTTTAGAAATTGCGTCATTGTCTCTATTTTTAGGAATTGCGTCATTGTTGCTATTTTTAGAAATTGCGTCATTGTTGCTATTTTTAGAAATTGCTTGATAGTTTCTATTTTTAGAAATTGCGTCATTGTTGCTATTTTTAGAAATTGCGTCATAGTTTCTATTTTTAGAAATTGCGTCATTGTTTCTATTTTTAGAAATTGCGTCATTGTTGTTATTTTTAGAAATTGCGTCATTGTTTCTATTTATAGAAATTGCATCATTGTTGTTATTTTTAGAAATTGCTTCATTGTTTCTATTTATAGAAATTGCGTCATTGTTTCTATTTTTAGAAATTGCGTCATTGTTTCTAGTTTTAGAAATTGCATCATTGTTGTTATTTATAGAAATTGCGTCATTGTTTCTATTTTTAGAAATTGCGTCATTGTTGCTATTTATAGAAATTGCGTCATTGTTTCTATTTTTAGAAATTGCGTCATTGTTTCTATTTTTAGAAATTGCGTCATTGTTTCTATTTTTAGAAATTGCGTCATGTTGCTATTTTTAGAAATTGCGTAATGTTGCTATTTTAGAAATTGCGTAATGTTTCTATTCATATATATATACAAAATATATAAACAAAACTAATGTGACAAGACAGACCAACTAAATTTATAAAAAGGAAACGTTAAGATATGTTCAAACCTTTCTATGTTTGCGTTTAGAAAAAGTAAAAAGTCGAGCGTTGCCCCCGCCCGGCGGTGGCTCTTGTTACTCTGGTTCATTGACATTAAGATATTGCATATTTATCAAAGATTTATAGTTTATTTTGGATCATTCATGATGTTAAATTTTCAGAATTCATTGTGCATTTGATTGAACATATCGATAAATGTTTATTCAGTTTTTCTTTTGGAAAAGTTGTTGAAGTGTTTTAGAAAAGTAAAGCTTGAATGAAATTCAATTAAAGTTGTGTTTTGCAGGGATAGAATCCGGAATGCAGTTCATGCCAGCGAACACGATGCTGTGATATTTGTAGGCAGTGGTTCAACAGCAGCTATACATAAACTAATACATGGTCTCCATCTTGATCATAAACCTGTAAGTTGATTCAACTCTTGATACCTATTCCACACAAGGATATTTAAACTGTTGATTTTTTTTCCACACATGGTTTTTAAATTGGAGCTTTAAGTTGAATGAACTTCAAGTGTCACTTTGTCAAAGAAAAGTGGAGCTAATGTCATGACCCATCTTGGTAGCATTGGCCTTTGTAAATCATCTTGGTTAACTGATTGTTCAAGATGATTAACTTCAATACTTACAGTGCTTTTCCCAGTCTACTTACTATCCAGTACTGAGAAAGTTACCAGGTAGGGTATTCTGCTCCTTTGACGGCACTTGTTTATGCACTTATTTTACTCCAGCTCAATGCATGGTCTTCATCTAATTCATAATATTGTGATGTAAAAAGAAAAAGGATATTTTGATATTTGCATGTACATGTATATCTTACAATTTTCAGGTTGTATTGGTTGGACCATATGAACACCATTCTAACTTGCTGCCATGGAAAGAAATTGGTGCAAAGGTATGCATGGAAGTAACAGCAAATAATGAAACAAATTAGCTTTTGTTTTGTTTGTAATTCTTACAAGATTTGATATATATTTTTCCTTGTCATAGACGACATACAAAAATGTAATGTATTCTAGTGTAATAACAAAAAGGGAGAAACAAAATGTTTACATATACATAGGATAATAGTCAGTGTTACTTCAAATCATTTGCCCCTTAAGCTAATGAATTTGAATCATTCAGGAACATTGAATACTTCATATTTAAATGTTGTTTAGCTAGTTCATAGAAGGTTGAAGGCCTGACCTAGCCACCATAACAAGTCTGAAGAAAACCACAGCGAGTCATCTAGGGTTTACTGCTCTAGAATAGTTAGAATGATTCTCTATAACCTTGATAATTTGACATAATACCCAAACCAATGACATTAAAAAAAAACAAACAAACAAAAAAAAAACATTATATTTTATTCAAATTTATATTTAAACTTAGTTTCATGTTTTGGTCGGATAAACATCTTTGCATAGAAAGATTTGACATCTTGAAATCAGATTTTACATTAGATTGTTCATAGACAATGTTTCTGGAGAAAAATAAGTTAAGGATATAATGTAAGAAGCATTTCATAATATGCTGTTTCTAATTTTTGACAGAAATGAAGCAAATATGTTTGTAGTGTATTATTATAGATATGTTTGTAAATTTCAGATTTTACAAGTGAAGGCAGATAAAGCAGGTCTTGTTGATATCAATCATCTAATATTATTACTGGAGGTAAGACAATAATATCATGATTAGAGGCAATACAACGTCTGAATCATGAAACACTCTGTCAATCAAATTTCCTGAAAGAACAATTAACTGGTAACTATATTTTAGCTGTTGAGATACATGTAGTCTAGCCAAATATGAAGTACGTTAGCTTTAAAACTATTCTAGGATGTGTAATATGAAAAAGTTTCTCTTAATGTTGAGTTATGATAATTTTCATTTGCTTTTATTTCCATTGTATTATGTTTTAAGCCTTAATTGTTTGATTTAAGTTCAGGTTCACATTATTATTAAGCAATATAATGGCTAAAAATGATCAAATTCAGTATGAATGCCAACACACTATGTTTGTTTTGTCATGACGCGGCTCAAATGATGTCAAGGATTTGACAGGTTTATATCAAAACGCATTCATTTTTCTAAAGTTGTATCAATATTGTACGTAATTTATGTATATATTACAGAAATGGAAGGTAACAGGACGTCAAATGATTGGTTGTTTTAGTGCCGCGTCAAATATCACGGGAATTTTATCTGATGTGAATGCCATTACTGTAACCTTACATAAACACGGAGCTCTTGTATTCTGGGATTACGCTACAGCTGCACCTTATGTTGATATTGATATGAACCCAGTGGCAGTGAGGTTTGTCATTATTATGTTTTTCTACATCTTGTGTTTATATAAACATTGTCCCAGTGTCAAAAAAAAACAAGATTTTGAAAATTTAAGATAATTGAATAATCCAGTAATAATATTGGACTGTATTGGTTCAAAGTGGTTTAAGATAGAAACCACTAATATTTTAAGTATCAGTCCCATGATTGAAGTATAACACTGCATGTTCTTATATGAATTTTCATCAGATAGACGAGATATTTATATTATCTATATACAAGGAAACTGTAATTTCATGAATTAATTTTAAATTTTTTGTCTCAAATAAAGGTATTGTAAAGTTTTGATAATTTAGAATACTTTTGATAGGTTATATGACTTCTTTTAACAATTTTTCACTATATAATCTGTGTCTAGTAGCTTGTGTTTGTTGAATAAGCTGACAGCCATATAAACTGTGACATATCACCAATCAAAATTCTTTACAGCTCTTCTCATGGATGATTCAGTATTTCTACTGGTTCATATGTCATTTAATAACTACTATACATTGTAAATATTCTTTATATATTGGAAGGGTAAAACTTACTGTCATTATTTCTAATAAGATATGTAAGATTATTGAAACATTATTGTTGGGTTGTCCAATTGTCTTCTACATTCATATCAGTAAATGTGGTTGAAAAAAATTATTAATTAATGATACTCAAAAAAAGTGTTGGAGCACCACACTAAAAACCGTATTCTGGTACATGTATATACCAGACAAGGCGCTTGAATGATTAAATGCTAAAATCTCGTCTTTCACCCAATGGAATGAACTTTAAAATGTCTAATTAATCTTTTGAAACCCATTTTTATATGATAATGAATAAAAATGTAAGAATCGGGGGGAAAAAACCCATATTTTTTAACTTTGTGATTATGATTTCTGCAAGCCTCTATAGGTACTGCTCCAACACTCTAGTGAGTTAAATCCATTATTAATACCTACAAGTACAGACTTCCCGAAAGTTGAAAAAAACTGTCAGACATTTGGTCTGACAAACCATGAAAATCTGTCGGACCGAAACGAAATCTGTCGGACCAAATAAAATTTATCAAAATCAAAGAATGACTTGTGTTTGTATTTCTAAGACACTTTTTGTTTTTAATTTTTTCGCCGTAAAAATCGGCACATTCCTTACAGCGCATTTTCATCTCCTCCCTATCATACACCAACGATTCACTGTCTTGCTTCTATTTTTCATTAAATTTTGTCTCAGGTCTATTCTTTTTATCCTTTTACTGCTGTTCTGCCTGTTCCTCTGACGTAGATTTTTTATTTTTCCAAGGTTTGGCACCTTTAGCGACGCCATTTTGTATACATGCGGCTTGGATAAAAGCCGGACAGTCGGACCGATCCGGAATAAAAACTTGTCGGACCTGATCAAAATTTATCGGACATGTCCGTCGGACCGACGTATTTCGGGAAGTCTGCAAGTATGCATGAGGAAAGCTAAATATTTTAAGGAACATGCACAATAAAGTTTTAACTAATTGTTTCCAGGATAAGCTAGTGATCAATTAATGATATTGTATTATTTTGCCATCTGTTGGATACTGATATAATTATATTATAGTGAAGACCAGCCGTACATGTACAAGGATGCTGTCTTTATATCCTGTCATAAGTTTGTTGGTGGAGTACAAACACCAGGTAACATTTAACAAATTTGTTGATGTAAAAAAAAATTAAATGTAAACTTGGTTGATGTAAATTTTGTAGTTGTAAATTTAGTTGATGTAAATTTTGTTTTGATGTAAATTTTGTTGATGTTAGTTTTGTTGATGTAGCAGGGCTCTAGCTAGACCAAAATTTTAGGGAGAAGTGACTTCTCCCTCAGCTCCTATCAGGGAGAAGTTTGACGACACAAGGAGAAGTGAAAAAGTGCTTAGCACATTGATTTGATCTATAAAAAGGAGTTTAACCTATTTATTTATAGTGATATTTGAAGTATAAATTCTAAAACCCTCTATCATCAGACCATTATAATGATTTCTTCCTGATTAACTCCACACACCCCCCTCCCCTAAGAAAATATTCATTGTACAACACATACTGGCAAAATTCTCAATCAAAATTAATGTAAACAATACCTTAAGGAATTTTCATTAATAAACTACATTTTAAGTGCTATTGGACACATTTTAACAAAACAAATTTTCCTTTTGGTAACTTTATTTTTTCATCGTAAAAATCGGCATCGCGAAAATATGTGACAAATGAAAATTTGTCGAAAATTTGTCTGTTTTCTGCAGAAACACTTACAATTCTAGTTGTTGTTGAGTTTGATTATATTAAATTAAATATCCAATGATTATTTTTAGATTGTTATTCATCCGCTATTGCAACAGGCATTGTAAAACAAAATTTTCAAATTTGTAGTTTACCGACGTTTATGACAAAGTTTACTGCTGTTTTTGACTTGTCCAAAAAATTTCTAATGTGGGTCAATATTTTTTAAGTTCTTTAACAAATTTCATTTTTACTATCAAACAGGTATCAAACCATTTATTTGTGCTTCTGTGTGTATTAAAATTATATATGCTAGTAAATTTACACGGTCTGTGTGAGGTTGCGTGTATTTACTGTCAAATACTCCGGAAATAGTGGCAGGTGTCGTAAAATTATGCTAAAAAAATGTGATGTTTACATCGGCGAATTAAATGGCTATAATGTCCGATGCATCTGCATATCATGTCACTTAAATGTGTTAATTGATGTCAATTATCGGCAGTAACTGTGCGTCACTAATTTAGTTTGATTTATGCCTGGAGGCGAGGATTAACTTAATTAACATGCGCTGTATGAATTTTATATGTACATGTGGTCAGTAAAAAAGCGCGGCGAAGTCGTTTTCGCTTTGATGTTCAAACTCGGCGAAGTTCTGAAACTTTAGGCGACTAAGTCGCCCAAATCGCCCAGTTGCTAGAGCCCTGTGTAGGTTTTGTTGTTGCTGTAATTTTTTGTTGATGTAAGTTTTGATGTTGCTGTAATTTTTTGTTGATGTAAGTTTTGTTGTTGCTGTAATTTTTTGTTGATGTAAGTTTTGATGATGAAAATTTTGTTTTGATGTAAATTTTGTTGATGTAAGTTTTGTTGATGTAGGTTTTGTTGCTGTAAGTTTTGTTGATGTAAAATTTTGATGATTTAAGCAGCCTCTCAGAAACAATAAGGCCAGTGTGAAAAGTTAAGCCTTTATTATAACGAAAAACTTGCCAAATGACTTTTGATATTTTACATTTATGTGGGTTTAAGCATAAAGAAAAGAAGAACTATTTACATGGAAATTGGTTTGCTCTTTTAATTTTCAGACTTAAGGAAAAAAAGTAAAATGGTTTAAATTAGCTGTCAAATATATATTTCCATTGTTCATTGTTTTACATTAATCTTCTATTAACAGGTGTATTGATAGCTAAGAAGAAGTTGTTTCGGAACACTGTACCTGACGGTTGCGGTGGTGGATCTGTGTTCTTTGTAAGTTTGTAGATCTATACAGCTAACTCACTGAACAACTTGGGTTCTATTCAGGTGCCCATATCTGCCTGAAAATAGTTATGGATGTATATACAATGTATTCCTCTAGTAGAGTGGAATCTTAAAGTAAACAATGTCAATCAAATTGTAATCATAATTACTGACTGAATTTAAGCTATAATAGATTAATTACAATTAATGATATCAATTTTTGGCAAGGTAATCAATTACATGATGATTACAGTGTAATCATGTAATCAATTAAAAAAATCAATGATTGCAATTATCAATTATCCTAGGGCTGATCTCTACCAGTTATAGCTGTAAAAACTAACAAATGATAAAAATTGTGCTTGTGGAACTGGAAAACTATTCCAGTTGTATGCATATAAAAATACATGCATGTTTTCTTGTCCAAGACACAGGAATTAAAGTTTGGCTTATCTTTTGATAGTTCACACCCTAATACTTTGTATACATATCAAAAAGTGAAGTGTTGGTAACCAATTTTTGGAGGGTCTAAAACCTTAAACTTGAAAACTACTCTTTCGTGAAAAAATCTGAAAACAGCATGAAATTTGGAAAATCTAGAAACAGCATTAGCCTTGATATGACATTATTTTACCATGTCATAACAAATTTGTTAGTCGTAAGTTTATATTATTTATCTTTTAAAGTTCTGCTGCTATTACTAAAATTATATATACAGGTAAGGAGAGAACAGCATCGTTACCTACAAGAACCAGAGTTGAAGGAGGAAGGGGGCACACCTGCCATTGTACAATCTATACGAGCAGGGCTTGTATTCCAGCTGAAACAGTCTGTAACACCTGCAGTTATACTGCAGAGAGAGGAAAACATGCTGAGGTATATAACTAACTTGTTATATCATGTATCTATTTCACTACTGTCATAATTTAATGAATATAGTCAAAAGAACATTTACCTCATGTGCTGTTCATTGACTGACAACATTTTAAGCAGTTAGTGCTGGTTGAATAATTTATGTGAAATCGGTTCTGAGGTTGAATGAATCAATTGCTTTGTTTTCAGTGAAAAGTTTTAACCTATGTATGTAACCAAAACCAGTATATTAGGATGTATTGATTGATGTGTTAACATTTTTTGGGCAATTTTTCTGTCCATAATTGAGTGAATGTGTAAAACTTTTTTTTAAAATATTATCAATGACAGGTAGACATTTGTGTTTAAAAAAACATTATTATTATTTATGTATGTATTAGTACATCAAATTTGTGTAACAACTTTATTTTTCTATTATTTTTCAAAAATGATTGCACATTTTCTTGTATGATTGTTACAAGACTTCACTTCAAATAATACATTTACTGATAATGGTCCTTTTCTAATATATTTGTAACAAAACTCCTGTTTCAATAATTCTATTGTTTTGTTTATGCTTGCAGGAAAGCGAGAGAAGTATGGAAAGACCATCCGACTTTGATAAATCTAGGGAACATGGATGCACCACGTCTTCCTATTTTCTCATTTATGGTGTACCATAAACAATCTGGCAGGTTCCTACATCATAATTATGTCAGTACATTGCTCAATGATTTGTTTGGGATCCAGGCTAGAGGAGGATGTGCATGTGCTGGTCCATACGCAATGGTAGTTTTCTATTTAATACAGGTTTCATTTCTTAAATTAAAATATTTTGAAGAAGAGAGATTGCTTGCAACTGTTTTTATCTTTAACCTGCTGTATTTTTATAATGGATTTGTCTTACTTTGGGGCGTCCTTGGCCGTGTGGTTAATGTTGTTGACTTCAAACCATTTGCATACATGCCATATCCCCCGCCGGGGGACAAAATCCCCGATTTTCGACCATGTCTCCCGATCTCCCGCTGTGGGATCGAAATCCCCCGATTTTCAAAAATTCAACCCAAAAAAAATTAAAACATCATTTTCACCAATAAACATAATTAAACAATAGACTTAAACAACTTTTACCACTATATATGCCTGAAGTAATAATTTCCCATAAAACAGCAGGGGTCTAACGGATAATTGTATTGTTAGTTACTCCGACACAGGAATAACAAATTCCCCTTTGATAAACCTGTCAATCAGTGTCAGTATTGCAGGTGCTTAACCAATGACAGCGTCCGATACTGAATGTGTGACGTATCAATTTTTGTTGGGCTATGTAACCCCGCCTTGAGTTTGTTATTTGAAGTTGATATGTGCAGATTCAGGCATCTCAAAGAATCACAGATTAGCAATGTTTGAAACTAATATTTTTTATGTAACTGTGATCTATGTTGTTGCAAAAATAATATAAACTAGCTTTGTCTCACAGTAAGCAACAAACACTGAGGAGGAATTGAAAGAGGTAAAAATCCGTTTCAATCAGATAAATAATACCTGTTTTAACACACAAAGAGCCAAAATAATTAGGTCCAATTATTATCCAGTAGCCAGTACACTCCAAAAAACCTTTACACAACCCTGCATCAATTACACAGTTTACATGTACATACAGGTATCAAGTGACGTAGTGTCTAGACTCCCTACTGCCATATAAGGCAATTGATGTGTGTTAACAAATTGAGGTGTGAAGTACATAATTGACCTGAGTAAACTGGATTAAGATTTGTGTCAGATTTTTTTTTTACTGTTTATGAAGTGTCAACGGAAAATTTTTAAGACAGCATTTTTTTTATTTCACCTTTCTATGGCTACAAAAATTCTCCGTGAAAATGTTGATACCTTTCATTTAAAGAGAAAAATCTTGACCTTTCATTTAAAGAGAAAAAACTTTGGCGGTTAAAGTATATTTATTTTAATGACTATGAATGCATCAAATTCAAGTTATTTGTACTAAAATGATTCAATATATATCTGATATAAAAATGTATTTTATATGATATACATGCAATTAATTATATTTGTTTTACAGGGATTCTTATTTTATTTACATCATTCAAATATTTAAAGTACCTATGTTTATTTGCAATTGTTTACATATTATTCTTTCATAGGCATGTATGTTAAAACTTATCAAATGATCTTGTACAAATGTTCATTTTCATAATAAAATGGTGGAAATTTAATTAAATGTTTGCATCGTTTTAAGATTACGACTGGTTTGTGCTTGCTTAAAAATCCCCCTACTTTTGGTCCAAATCCCCTGCTTTTTAAAGCCAAATCCCCCTATCTGGGTGGCTGGAAATATGGCATGTATGCATTTGCTCCTCACAGCTGTGGGTTAGAATCCCAACTAGCTTACGGAACATAGGTGGTTCTACTCAGGTGCCTGTTCCTGCCTGAAATAATGCATGGAAGGGCAACTGAGGTCTTCATCCACCAGTAAAGCGGGAAAGTCGCTATATGACCTATACTGTGTCGGTGTGATGTAAAACCCATTCAAACAAACAAAGTCTTACTTTGAATTTGGAACAGTCTTTTCAAATTTTGTAAGGGATATCAATATCAAAATAGAATATTGTGTTTCTATCGGTACAGTGCCTGGTCAGACTACAGGATTGATATGCAGACTGGTCTGGCTCTATACTAGTGGAAAAGGTATATCACTGTAAATAGGTAATTCAATGACCGTGTGGAATTCCATCAGTATAGAGCCTAGTATTATTTGTGGTAAATCTATAAAATTGTGCAAAATGTAAAAAGAATACCAGTACTGTATTTACTTAAACAAATAATGTAAAAAAACAAGTGTATTATTTATTTGTACATTGCTTAAAAATAGGCAAAAGGGTCCACCATTTTCCTGTACTTTATTGATTAAAATTATGGAAATAAAACGGCTAGAACCAATATTCTATACTTATTTTAGATAGTAAAAAAGGGAACATAGGGGAATCAGTAGTCAGCTTAAGCTTTGGATGAAAATGCAGCTAAGGGAATACTAAAGTGTATTTTACTAGGAAGGATCACATTTATCTGTTCAAAATAGATCTCTATTTAGCCATTCAATGCAAAATTGTGGCATCAGTAAATTGTACTTTACTTAGTAAAATAACACTATAAGGGACAATATTTTTGTTAAAACAATATGTTGTCAAATAATATAAACAGTATTAACTTTTTACAATGATATCCAGATATGGTAAAGTTGATTTGGTTTAATTGTATTGTTAACATGATTATTACAGGACTTGTTAGGAATGGAGGAAGAGGTTAGTGAGAGGTTTGAGCATCTACTGGCTGAAGACAGGTGAGAAATATGATTAAAAATTATACCTATACTACTGAATTGTAAATTTGTATTGTATTGAAATGTTTCTAGAGGTGTTTGTGGCAATTGGTTAAGGTAGTTGACTTTTAAGCACTTGCTCCTCACCACTTAGGGTTTGAATCGGGAAAGAGACTTTGAATTCTTTCATGTGAGGAAGCTATCCAGCTAGCTGATTGAAAGTCTGTGGTTCTACTTAGGTGCCCGTTTGTGCCTGAAATAATGCACAGAGCACTTGAGGTCTTCCTCCACCAGTAAAGCTGGAAGTCGCCATATGACCTATGACCTACCTGGTGTAATGAAAAATCCAACAAACAAAAAACATGTTTTCTAGGTATAAAATCATTGGCGAATATTATTAAATACTTCTAA